TTGCATAGTTAATCGCGTGGGGTAGACAAATAATGGATTATCCGGGACCTCGGCAGAAGGCGCAGATGGTGTGGTTATCTGATGTATAATCTTGACATGCAAGCTGCGGTTTTCATGGTAATGTTTCCGCCTGCAGGGTGCGCCAAGAAAGTTGACGATGAAAGCTGCGTCTCCCTACATGTCTTGGGTACAGAAGATGGACCTGCGTTTGTCGCCCCCGGTGTGTTTATCGGAATGACCATTGCGTACGTAACCCGTTATTTTTCTGTACTGGATTGTGTCTGGCATTGACCTGACAGTGTCATAACCTAGTCGTTGGGTGTGGCTTCCATAAATGGGGTAATAGGAGTCACGTCGAATATGGCTTGCCAAATTAAAGGTTTATAAGATGTCAAAGCAATTGACGCATATAGAATGGGGCGGTTAGCAGGGCTGACATACGCGTTTGTATCATCCTGATCATGCTTTTGCAGGCGCGCCTCTCACTGCCCCTTTGACCTAGGGATGGAGTTCAGAGTGGGGTGCTGGGGAAAAGGGTCGCTTTTTCCGATTCCAGTTGCGAAGCACTGTGCCTCGCCAAGTGCTCAGATGTTTCAGCTAATTTTCACACCTTTTCATGAGCACAATTGAAAACGGAGTAGCTTTGCAGACCATAGCGCATCTGTCGCACTGTTGGGCCTCTTTAATTAGACTTGAGCTATGCCACCATACCTAGCGTGGAATGCAAATGCACATTTTGAGCAGGCTAGACCTGGCCTGACTACACGGATGAATTTCGCTTCTCCACCTTTATCGCTCAGTAGGATCATTTTCCTCGACGGCTGTAGTTGCAACGGAACACGGCATCTGTCCGGGCCAGTGTGGTAGGGGTGGGATCCTCAGGTTCGTAGTCACAGTTGTGCACTTGACCTCCGTTAGGTGGAGGAGTTTGTCACGAGAATGACGCACACGCAGTGCACTTTGACTTCTTTATCGACTGACAGTGGCTCGTGTAAGATTGGGCTCTTTAGCCTGCCTTGTAGCGGGTGGATGCCAGCGACTGCGTGTCATCGATGGGTCTATGTAGTCAAAAGCCACAAATTGAGTTGTAGCTTCCCTAGAAATGATCCTGGAGTGCTAATAGATGGATCACCGAATGGAGCGGAGAATCCTATATCGAATGCAAGTTTTCAGCAGTGTGGTTATTAAAAACAAGGCTTCACGCGTGGAACTGATCACGAGAAGTTTTAAAACAACTTGGGTTGCAGAGATTGCGAACCGTAATGAATAATTCCTTGAAATCGTGGCCACTGAATATGAGACGTTAATCCGATTCAAGCGAGTGTATGATGACTGCGCTGGGTGAAGATGGAGTAGGGAAAACCCTTGACAGAGGATAGCGCGCTTCTTACTGACTCACCCGGCGGTTGATTGTCTAGGCGATGAAACCCGCCAAAACCGATAGTTGTGTGAACAGGGTGGAAGGGGTGGAACACTCGAGCGCATGGTGAGCGATCCTAATCCGACCAGTCTGACCAGCATCGATGAGCGGATCCGGTTAGAAAATGTAACTCGACTCCCCATCATCATCACCATGAGCTTCTCTCAATCCCATGATGCACAAAGGAACACTTGGATTATTCCCACTACGACCGAACCACTTCAGGTGACATCCTGATCTGTGACTGAAACAATCACTTGGTTACTGCTATCGCGATTATCGTCCGTCTTAGCTAGAAAAGCCCTCGGCAACTGCTTACTGAGTCCGCTAGGCTGACGAAGTTTTTATGTTAAAGGTGAAATGTTGTCCAACAAATACACCAGTTACACCAACGATCCAACCACATGGCAAGTAACTCAAATAAGACTTTGAATTCTCTACCGCTGTGTCAAGCGTTGCTCACGGATGTTAGCGGTATAGTGATCAAGGCGTCAGTCGTTAAATAAATAAACAAACTGGTATATTTACCGACAGACGGTACACGACCCCATAAGTGGGAGCGATCATTTGTATAGTGAATACGTTTCATAACATTTAAGAAAAGTTTATTAATAGCATTTCGGATCATGATTATTTTTCCTTGGGTCCTAGACCCGTGCAAGTCACATGTAAAATTTACGGATGTTTGTATCGTCAGTAGTAGATAATAAAAGGAGGGACTACTAGGCTGCAAAGACACAGAACTTGGTATGGTATATAATGACATGTAGTGGGTAAGGTAGCTGTAAGTGAATATCTTCTCATATGTTTTTATACCAAGTTCTGTCAATGTTTCTAGTGTTTGCTGTGAGCCAAATATCTTCAAAGCATTTGGTATAGTGAGGAACGTCTGATGGAGATTTCGAAACGTGACTTGGCTTGTACACATGCGTATGCGTAGGGGCAATTTGTTCCACAGATAAGTGTATCTCACTAAGAAGAAATTCGATCGAATTTTATGACTTGAAAGGTTTGTACGTATCAAGTAGGCTTCGAGTTACACCCCAGCGCAGGCTGCCTCCATCTGAGGAGTCAAAAATAGGACGAAACCGGTCGTGGAGTGTCAGTGTTGAGAGGAAGAAGCTACGAAACTCTCCACCTCGGATATAGCCCCAATCATGGAAGCGGCATGGGTTTCCTTTAAAGTAACCCGTGATTCTAATGGAGGTTGCGTGTTGCAAACCAGACACACGGCGGGAACTCCAAGACCTAACAATGAACTTCTAACAGCTATGTCAAGTGATGCTCGTGAAGCTCTGGCTTAGTGACCAAAGCGTTCCCCATCAATTACTGTGTGCTACGTTCTACTGGCAGATCAAGTTATCTCTATCTGGAGGGTCCAAATCAGGACCAAACCGGCTGTGCTGTGCGAGTTAGAAGAGAGCGCCACAGAAACGCAACACTAATCGTGCTCGTGAAAGACGACCTAGGTTGAATGAGACAAACCGATAATGCATCAAAGAAGCAAATAAGCGCCTCGAACTCTTTCATATGGCCTTTGGAAAGTTCGATGCGTCAATATTTCCAAAATGTTTGGCGCTTATGTGAGACCGCATGCGGGATACGCTATCCAATCGTGGTAACTGTGGCAGAAACACCACTTTACCGCGCTCGACACTGCACAAAGCAAAACGACAAAGTACCTCAAAGGTTTGTTCTACCTTCCTTGCTAACTTCGACTGGAAACTCTAGGACTGCAGAGTGAAGGTTATCAGTGTCTATGAGGAGATCTCATAATGGTGTATCAAGTCCTATGAAAACCACAACCACACTTGCCGTCACCTTTTGAAACGCATCTAAAATAAATAAAGGGACACCAGCTTAAGCTGGCCACGTAGTACAGCCGATAGGAATGTTGACAAAACTGTTTCTTCATCCAAGTGCCATGGAACTCCCTCCCAGGGGATGTAATTAATGCTCTCACTGTATCACTATTTAAAGAACGACTTAAGGACACATTGACACATTTACACAAGTGATATAGCACATAACAATCAGATGATGGCATTAGCGTAGAACAAACAGTGGACGATGTCATAACCCTGCAAAATCTGCGTAGGAATGCTCACACCTGTGCTACTGCAAATCTCTTGGCGAGCAGGTATCTTGAGCGTTCTTCCAACGCCACTGTGCTGTTGTTATCTTGCGATTTGCACGCTAAGCATCCTACGGGAGTGGTCAAGCATTTGCTTTGTTACTCGTTATAAACCATGGATCCATCGCTAGATTATTTCCTATTTAAGCAACACAGTAATCGATTTTGAATCAATTGATAAGCATCTTCTTCGACTCATACACTGTACCCGCTTGCATGTGCTCATTATGAGACCCAAACAAATCATTAATTCGTAGTTATTGACTGTTGCAACACTACAACCTCTAATATCATTAATGGATGACAATCTTCCTGTAGTTCAACACGGTGAAGAATTTGACGGGGTTTGAATCTGTCTAACAGATTAAAATGACCCGAATCAAGGCACAACCAATGGGAACAGAGAAGAGAAACCAAAAACATTTTATGCAGTTCCATGCACACGCACATACAAGCATACACCTGTGCTTCAGTGCACACCTGGGCCACGAGGCAGTCGGAATGATTCAAGCTAAGGTTACGGCATAGATAGTCTGAAGATAACACACTTTCTCACACTAGAAACCAACGCTCTCCATCCACCGCACGCTATAGATCGCATATTGAGTACAGAACACACAATGCTCATGACGACGAGTCCCCGGAGTCTTTACTGTGCATGTACGTTTGGGGGTTCTGTCTCGTAATAGGATCGATGTCAACTAATTCCCAATCTATATGCCTGCCTCCATCTGTCGTTGGTATTATTCCTTCAGAAAAACAAGATAAATTTTTACCCCTCAAACAGCAGGTAGCTCTAAATGGCACTTAGCCGAACCATCGTAGTTTATTCCCTCTTGTTTGCTCATCTTGTGGGATAAACTGGTTGTCTTCACATGTCAATTGTTTGAATGCCCCACCGTTGCAAACAGCCTCAAGCAAAGCGACACGAGCGTCCTCAGTAGAGAACGTTATTCAACGGCTTGTTACTACTTCAAGTCTTCTGAACGGGTGGGTCAAGTCCCACTGCTATCGAAGGGAACGACACCATTATCCTGAACAAACGGCATTTTGAGGATCAGAAAAAATCACTTCAAGTACCAGTAATGTCGTTGGTTCAGGAACGAGTCGCTGGCTTTTGCAATACGCAGTGTTTCGAATAAAAGTACGAACAAATAAAGACCATGGGCATGTTATACAGCAGGGGGGTTTGTGCTCAAGGGAATACGTAAAGAAAGAAATAGAGAACCAGAGAATGCGGCGGCGACAGCCCGCAGATGGCAACTCAGAAAGTTAAAGCCGGTCAGTTTGCGACCCTACGATAGTATACTAATAATAATAATGATTGAAATATTAACCATAATCATAGAAGCAACAGCAGTAATGAGAATACAATGAAGAAAAATTTTCGGCGTGTAAACAGCCTCAAAAAATCCAGTCAAAACAAAATGCCCACTAATGACCTACCGTGTATTTGTACAGGTCGTAAATCGTCCAACTGAAGCCCGGCAACTTCCAGTCTGTCAGTGAAGTGCTTAACAACAGTGAAGTTTCGTTATCACAGATGAAATGCACGTGTATAGGGAAGGTCTGTCGGAGGTCCGTGCGTAAGGGACACGTGAGGTGAGGCGTACGACGCACTAAGTCACAGTCAGCCGAATTATCGCGGAACCGCCCTTGATAGTAGAATACGCTTTTGAGCATGGTCAACGCACGCAAAACCGTTCGGCTGCCACGCAGAACCATACCGAGATGAATTGCAGTCTGTGCCTCGATGGGCGGTGAAGAATCCGAAGAGCCTTCACAGTGGTCATAGGTCCGTGGTTGCTAGTCACGATGGATAGAAAAATGTGGAAATTTCAATTGTATGTACACAGGAGTATTTTCAGTAAACGCACTCAAACAATGCACTAGGGTAGATGAAACTACTTAATTTGAGCTTATCAGTAATTTGTGCGTTATTTGACGGAACAATTTACCCCAAACAGTGAGTTAACTATCTCGAAGGTCTCCGTCACATCGTGAGATCAAGATAATCAAATGGTCAGTGAAGTCATGCTACGTATGCAACTAAGGCATGGATGTCCAAAGTTCGGTCCGCGGGCCAAAGGTAGCCCGCAATAACATTTCAACTGGCCAGCGATCTCATCAAGAAATAATAAATTCAAGCTTACGTATTTTTTGTACAGACGACATCATTTGGAGTACAGAAAATTAAGGACGTCACAAGTAGATAAATCGATGTCATCAGATACTAGCAAAAATCAATGTAATAACTGTTTTTAACAAGGATGGTTCAGCGGCAGAGTTCAAAACACGATGGGTATTTGCCTGAAAACCACTCTCCCTTAAACAACAATGAGGTCGCGGATCTCAATAGTCACTAAAGAAAGTCACTGCCCTTTGCTCCATATTGATGAAGCATTGAATCCTAGCAGCCCGTTGATGAAAATGTAAAAGGAATTGGCTACCATTTGGAAAGTGACCAAAAGAAAAGCGTATACACACTCAACAATCAGCCAACGGCTCTGGATATCCTGATGTCGCTCCGTCGCACGCAGATTAATGAACCAAACACTCGGTGTGGTGTTCTCTAAAACAACACATTGCTAAGGCTTGTGAGAACGGAAAATATAACGACAGCTGAGAGAAACATGGATTTCACAGCGTTGCGTTCGGTTAAGTTTTATGATAACCGTACCTTCCAGTGTTCTTCTTGCAACATATTTGATGTATATTACGGCTTTATACATGGCTGGTGACATCCGGTTTCGGATTTGCCTGTCACTGTGGCCAACAACAGGGCGCCTGCGCCTACAGAGGGACCATGGGTGGCTTGCGCTGCACCAGCCACAACTCCATCCACACAACCCATATCCAGTGTAAACCAGAAGGAATAAGACCGGGAGGCATGTCGATGGGAGCCACGTTTCACCAACGCAGCCAGCGCACACTCCTTCATAGGCAAACACAAGCACGATGTATCTGGGGAATCATGCGCACACCAGGCGGTGGCTGGACCGTAGTCCGTTCCACACTGAGTGCATGGAACCACTCTTCGCGCCTAGCACGACCACAAGGACCGTGCATCCTGTCCCCTCCAGCAACGACCAACTGCCTTCTGGAGCCAGTATGGACGAGGTAGTGGGTAATAGACAGGTAGGCACCTTGTCAACATGCACATCAAGCGCAGCCACACAGGGGATATCAAGCAACAGCCAATCACTTGAAACGACAAGATGAAATAAAACAAATCCAATAATGCATACAGATAAGGTGGCATAACTCTTCGCTAAATTAGCATATGAAGTAAGTTGGTTAGCAACGAACCCGCGATAAGGAATAAAATGCCACAAACGCAACAAAGTTACCGAAGATAAGCGCAATTAATGTAAGCAACGTGGCCAGTTAATAGAAGATTATTCAGGTAGGCAGAACAAACCAAAAAAGTGGAATGAAATTCAGCCAGCTTAAAAAGACCTAGTTTAAGGGTATGTTGGTTTAGCCCAACTGCAGTGAAGAAGCATCAAGAATGCAATATCAGTTTCCGCATGCGGCACGGGTTTATATATATATATATATATATATATATATATATATATATATATATATATATATATATATATATATATATATATATATATATAAATGCAACTGGAATCGGACATTTGGCGTTGTTCACCTCAAGCAAGGCCGGTGACCCAGTTGTCGCGTGTCGCCCCATGGGTTTTCGCGTATTTCCTAGAGGTGGGTAGGTGAACCTACGCAATGCAATCACTGGAACACTGCTGGCTGTTATGAATCCACCTAAACCAGTCCAGCTTCATTGGTTTACAGCTGTAGCTTGTTGGCAAAGTCAGGGAAGTAAGGGGACTGTACGACATTCCGGCTACACTACGCTTAAGCGAATGCAACGTATCTGCATAAGCAGTGGGTGATTGTGCAATTCCTCCTCTTGATCATGGGCGTGAGTTGACCCGATCCGAACTGGTGACCCAGTTGTATCGTGTCACTCTATGTGCTTTCGCGTATCTTATGTGGGTGTGTGGGCGTACTTATTCAGCTGCTCGATTATTGGATCATTGCATACTAACATGATTCCAGGAAAACTGCATGGCTTTTGCTGCACGAAACGAACAAACTAAGGAGTGACTAGAGGCCGCATCTTCGATGCCCAGACGTACAAGAGATAGTCATGTCACAGAAAGAGATGCTCACCAAGCTGGTGTTCGTCGACGGCTAAACCACACACGAAGCTGCTGAAGTCGCGAATTTCAACGAGCGCACGACAAGTAACATCATCGTCGCCTACAGTGTTAGAGGAGCAATAAAATAGAGGTATGCTTGTGTAGCGGTTATGACTGCAGACGCGCGTTTTGCTCTGGTGGTTAACTGACGTTTGTGTTAACCCATTATATTTCTATCCCTACTGGCTACTTGGAGGCGCTGTTTTTGCCTACAAACTGCAGTTATACTCTGATGCTAGCACTCTCACTTTACGTTCGTTGTGTGTACTTGATTGCTTCCTTAGTTTTTCAGTGTTTGATTGGCTCACCTTGTCCATAGGTTTTCCGTACTCACGTTAGTTTTCATGCTTGTGCGTTCTGCTATACATCGAAGTGGTTCCCCTATGTAAAAGAACCCCTTGAATCCTTGTCCCCGGTCCTTCGTGTTCTGACTACCGTTAGTGGGTGCGAGCAGCCGCGGGGCTCCAACACAACATACAGGAAAGAATGCACGAATACTCAGCGAAACAATGGGAAGAAGCTGAAACCGGTTATACTGCAACGCCTGAATGAGACAGCTAAACAGCATTAGGAGCGCACTTTGGTGTAGCTGCAGCGGCTGCTGAGAGTTCGGGATCCATCCATCCTTATCTACTGTCTTCAACGCTAACAGGAAGCTACGGATAACGCCCAACAAGTGTACTAAGAGCAAAATCGCGTCAACAGTGCCCCGACCATCGCAAGCTGACAGGCTGTGCTACAGACACCTCAGTACACACCCTATTCTTTCATGCTAGCTTCCACAGTTTGGTTTCAAAAACGCCTACTTTAAAAGGAAAATGGTGTATTGACAAGAAAGAGAGCATTAACGTTAAAAACCTTCAGTTACTGAAGGGCTGTCCAGCTACTGCGTTTGTCAGGCATAGGATCATAGTGAGGACACTGGTCGAGCAGTCCTGCTGGGTTACCGTTCCAACACTCTCTTGAATGACCGTACTTAGCGTCTGGTCAGGCGTCGCATTGGCCAACAGGCGTCTCGCTGATGCTTCCAGCTTCGAAAACAAATGTTCTGCTGGGTTTAGCATGTACGAGTAGGGTGAGAGGAACCTCAGCTGAAAGGATGAGCCCAAGATCCTCCTTACTTCATCCGGTATGTGAATCCTGGCGTTGTCCATGCTCAGCCATACACCGTTCATCTCCACTCTGCAGCGTATACGCCCCAAAAAGTTCCTTGACAAACGTGGAGAACATTGCAGCAACGCATGTACCATCGCTGATGATTTTTGAGCGGACGATGCGTTGGTTATTCACTATCAAAATCAACGTCACCATTCAGCCTCTGACTGTAGGCAAGACGACATTCGTGCGCGTCCTTCTTGAGTGAGCCTGAGTCCATCGTATATGAAGATTGAACCCGTTCACATCAATGAAGGTGCATTTCAGATTGTCATTAGGTGAATGTACAGAGAAGTCAAGAGAGTAAGCTTGCCGGCTTGAGATGGTAGTGGCACAGTTGACGCACTCTAACTCGTGTTGACACTTCTTGAGTGTTATCCTTAAACTCCTGAGAACGTTAAAAACACTAGATAAGGATAAGTGGATCCCGATGTCGCTCAGCCGCTGCTGTAGCTGTGCCAGAGTTTCTTCGGAATGCCGTTCTTCAATGCGCTGCAGGACTTTAGGTGTCAACTTTTACCTGTCGTTTTATCCAGATTTGCCTTCTCTCCTGTAGGCAAGGATGATGTTCCTTGCGGTGCTCTCGTTCTTAACTGCGAAGTAAGCAGCTTCGTGGGTGGTTTTGCCGTTGACGAACACACTTTAGTGGGGATCTCTTCCTGTGCGCTTGTACGGCTTCGAAGATGCGTTCTCTCGCTGCTCATTGTCCATTTTGGTTGTTTCGTGCAGCCCAGACTAATAAAGCTATGCTGTGTTTGGTGGAATCATGATAGCCCGCACTGATCCAATAATCGAGCAGCTGAATAGGTTGGCCCACATACCCAAACCAAATACGCGGATACCCATAGGTGAGAGGGTAAAATGTGTCATCCGCTTCGATGAAAGTGAACGACTCCAACGTTAAAGAGGGATACTTGCACCACTGCTTGCACAGTCCCATTGCATTCGCATGACCAATATGCGACAGGAACATCGTCCAGTGGCCTCGTTCCCCTACTTTGATAACAAACTGCAACATTAGCCCAGAAAAAAATGGGGCTGGTTTTGGTGGATTCATCATAGCCGACGCTGTTCCAATATTGGGGCAGCTGAATAGCTTTCCCCATACACCCACATAAGATACGCGAAGGCCCATGTAGCGACAATTGGGTCACCAGTTCTGATCGGGTCAATTGACGCCCACTGCATATGCATTCGCGTAGGTGCAATGTAGTCGGAATATCGTACGGTTCCCTTAGTCCCCTGAATTGACAACAAACTACAGGTGTAAACCAATGAAGCTAGACTGGTTTATGTGGATTCATAATAGTCAACAGTGTTCCAGTGATTGCAGTGCATAGGTTCTCCCACGTACCCACAGGAAAAACGCCAAAAGCCATAGTGCGACACGGGACAACTGGGTCGCCTGCTTTGTTCGAGGAGAGC